CTTACAAATGAAGATACTAATCAGTTACTCCTGACTCAAGTCTCTCCTCTTAAAAAGAACGCAGTCACCAGCCCAAAGCTAGACCACCTCCTAGCTTAGCCCTAGTCTCTTCACCAGCTTGTGTGCGTACAGACACACTCGCTTCTAAATCACTCCCATTCTTGGGTCACAGACAAAGGCAGTGGATTTGGAGAGTCCTCCTCTCCGTGGTGCAGGGGCACACTTCTTCCTGGACGAACATGCACTTTCTGACCCCCGACTTAGTTCTTAGTTGTGACCAAGTCTCAGGCAATGGAAAAGCCTGCCTGGGATTGAGCCCATCTCCACTGCTAACAGGTGGCTCAGTGGCTTAAGTCAGAGCATCCTAGTCTCCTGGCACCTGGGCTGATTCAGGGCTGGACTTCGAATCCAGGCCCCCGTCACTCAGAATACCCCTTCCCTGGCATACAGGCATCTGTGTAGCCGAGCAGCTCAACTGGTCCAATTAACCCCAGGATTTTTGCTGGGAGCTGTGGAACAGAGAACCCTGCTTTCACAAAGAATGTGGAAGAGGAATCGTGTAGCCTCAGAAATTTCTAGCAACCATCCCGAAACAGAAAAATAAGCTAGGTCCTCCTTACTGGGTTTTAACTCCTAGGTCACACCATGCCTGAGCTTGGTTTTGCCTCTGGATGTTTTGGTAACATCAACCAATTAAGTACCCTTTAGTTTTTAAAGCTAGTTTGAACTGTTTTTCTGGTTCTTATTATATGCAAAATACTTCTAACCGATATACTTGGATCCACCCACTGCCACATGTCTAAAAGGAACTGAATGAATGATGTTTGAAGGATAACCATGAAGCCTAGGGGTTCAAGCTGTTAACATTTCTGCTCAGATCCTGCCTTCCTGATGCAGAACGTGCCCCAAGTTTCATGGCACAGCATTACAAAGGCCAAGTGTGCTCCTCTTTGTTACCCTGTGACTGCTGTTCCAGGAAATCTCCAGGTAACAGAGCTCACTGAGCACAATTTTCTAGATCCTGAATATGTCTTGCTCTCTTCTCTCAAGTGTGTCAATTCAAATCAAGTTAAGAAGGCTTGCTTTTCAAAAGGAGATCTTTGCCAAATCAGGTAAAGCCGCCCATCACCAATGTCTTTGACCTTCACACTTTGTGCCTACCACTGCTCAGATAATTAAATACCCAAGAAATGTGGGACTGATGGAGCGAAAGTTTACTTCATGGCTCAAGGGACAGCACTGACTTCACCACATACACATCTCTTTTACAGAAATGACATGCACAGTCTTTATACTATTTTTACTATCTACGTGCCTTTTACTGGTTATCATCAGTGGTAAAATTTTTAAGTCTGGAAACAATATTCACTGAGAAATGACGTCTCATGGCCTGAGATTTTATAGGTTGAAAATTTTAGGACAGAAGAAAGGCAAAGGCCCTAATAAGAACTGAAAGAATTAAAGGACTGAAAGAAGTTTAATTAGACAGTGAAATCCCTGATGGGAGAGTCAACATTATTTCCTTACAGCTAGAGAAATTCTAGAAAGTCACACTGTGGTCTTCAGAGAAGCCTTGTCTAAAGGGTGGGCCGGTCCACCTTGGCCTCAACCAGGGAGTCTCCGTTAGAAAGGCTGACCGCTGAAATCAGCATTCCCCAGGAGGGGCAGGATGGGCTCCCAAGGGCCTCCCCAGTTAGGCCTTTTCTGGTTGGAGTCCTTCCAGGGTAAGTCTAGACCCTGGGTGGAGACAGGAAAAGGGAAAGTGGTCCTCACTTTTGAATTAATGCAAAAGGAGGTGCCTGAGGAAGTTTCAAGTCATGTCAGGCGCCCCCAAGCTCCAGATGGGGTTCTCCAAGGAAAGGCCCTCGTGCAGCCTCTAGGATCACAGCCAGGAGGGTGGACCGAGCCCAGCCTGGGGACTAGAGATGCCTTGTGAAGGTGGCTGTCCCTCTGTGCCCAGTGCTGCTGCACTCGGGGTCACCATGGAGGAAGGCCCGCTGACTGGCCTGGTCCTGCTGACTCTCTGCCCGTGTCTGCAGTTGCCGGCTGCTCGAGGCTAGGTCCCCAGCAGCCATGTGCGGTGTGGCCTGGGCCCGAGCTATTCCTTCAGGGGAAAGCTCAAGAGCGACGAAGTGGGCAGCTGGCCTGCAGCCTCAGCGTCCACAGCCTTCTGCCAGGTCTGCCGAACCCTGTCTTAGAGACCGAGCCCAGGAATTTGCATTTTAGCAAGCCTTCCAGGGCCTTCTGATGCGGGCCTCATCTTGCAAAGCACTGTGCTGGGGTGGGCTTCTCCAAATTCACGTGTGCTCTGAATCACCTGCGGGCGAGGATTTGGACTCAGCTTAGGATGGGGCCCAGGAGCCTGCCCTTCTCACCGGCTCCCAGGTGAGGCTGCGGCTGCGGACTCACAGTGCACACTTGGCCCAGGAAGATGCAGAAAGCTTGCTAACCAGGGATGACAATTCGAAAAGTGACGCTCCATCCCATTTTCATGATGAGAAGCGCCAGTCACGCATCCAGCTGAGTGCCTGAGTTGTGTGATGAAATCTAACCCATGCCAGCTTCATGCTTTTTGTTTTTCCCCATTAAGACAAGATTCTTACTTGATGCCATAGAAGTTTTTCACTTGACACTGAGAATTCCTAATGCCTTTTCTCACCCCCATGGGAGAATATTTACAAACTGATATGCTCCCTATCAGAG